GCGAGAAGAGGTGTTAGAATGACGCATGCGGCGTAGCGCAAGCTACTTATAGGGGGTGGATTCCCTGACGCTGACGTCAAGATCACCAGCCAATCAGGATTGGCGTAATGAGATTGATGCTTCTGTTTGCTCCGCGATGAGGCGCATCCCATAGTGAGACATCGAACGGAGTGTTATGAATGAGAACTTGGTTGGCTGCTTATTAAATGACTTTATAAACCATGTCAGAAAATCATTCAAAATCATTTTACATTAAGTGCTAAACTAAGGAACACACACAATATGTATACACTTCAATGGTTCAGTATTAAATAATATATATTTATCGTTTTCCAGGGTGGAAATGTGTTTTTGTAAGGAAATGTGAGCAGTGATTGTTCTATATTTTGGCAATAATAATAACAGTTCAGGAAAGTTTGATAAATATATTTATATACTGAAGATTTTGTATTGCATTTTGGCCTCAAAAATTGTAAACTGGATACTGGTTGATACCTATAGTACACTTGGATCAGAGTTTTTTATTTTTTCATGAATAAGAACTGAATTGTTGTAGTTGTCCCTCTTATCTGATTCTGTTTCTCTTCTATTTATCAGTAAAGACTTCCTACTAAGACCTACTGCACCTACTGACCATGTAACTCTGACCTAATAGTATTCTCCTCAGTCTAACACATATCATTGTTTCTTTTGGTTCTGCAAAAATGCAGGTGACCTTCTGTACAGCAGTGTTTTTGCCTGAAAGCTGCTGACATCCTGCTTTCTCTGCGTTGGCTGCAGAAATATCCAAACTGACATTTCACAACCTGCCTTTGTCTCTAAATCTGACATACAACTAGTCCAATTCACGAGTACATAAATCAACACAATGTGTTAAATTCATGTGTCATTCTCTAACAATACAAGTTATGCATTGCTTTATGTTGTCTTGTTTAAAGATAGTTAACATGATTGTAATTAGACAATAGTACAGAGGCTTTGAAAGCATTTGCTTTTCTGAAGATACTGTTGTCTATGAGATTTTCAAAGAGAAGAATCTTGTCTTAGCGTAAAGAAGCATAACATCAATGTATAATTATGCTTTGTATCCTGGACTGGAGGGAGAGTGTACACACAGATCTAATTTAGATAAATATCAGCCTTCATTTTTTATTATTTGTGTTGGTTCTTACTATTTGTGTGAGTGATAGAGAGAGATAAGGAACAAGGCGTGACATTGTTTACATTTGTTCCGCGTACATGTGCATAGATGTGTCAGCACATGTGTGTAAGTTTGGAGTGTCTTCACATAGATCTGTGATGACTCAGTCAATCCTAATCTGTTTTCTTTCTTGGCCCAAAACATTTCTGGCCTTCTCCCTTTGCCTGATTGGCTAAGGAAAGAGAGACTGTTTGTAAGGAGAGAAAGAAGCTGCTGTTTCTGGAAATGTATAGCTCTGCTACTAAAGGAATCTTCCTGATGTACAGCAAAACCATTTTAGGGCTGAGTTCAAATTCTCGAGGAAAACCAATGTGCCATATTCTTTTGCTGTGCCACAGTTGTTTAGATATTCTCCCTCTCACACTTGATGTATTGTTCTCAGTCCATTTTCTCTGTCTGCCAAGGATTTATAAACATTCTGTTTGCTCAGTTTGCAAACTGTCCTTTAGTCAAGCTTTATAGAAGCCCTCTCATCTCATCTCTTTAAAGGCATTTCCAACGTTAAGGGCATGCAAGATGAACATACTGAATACAAAGGCAAAGTGTAAGTGACTTAATGACGATGGAAAAAAACCTTGGGTTGTCTTTTCAAAGCAAAACAGTCCTAAAGCATAAGCTTGAATATAAGAAATCAGTCCTCAGATTTATTTCCAAAATATACAGACTTTGTTTACTACAATATACGTATGTATTTACATTTCTTTTGTCTACAGATGGTCTCATCGGATGGCGTCCAGCAGAGTACCCCGGTCACTGTGAACATCCTGGTCATTGATGCCAACGACAACACGCCCACGTTTCCCGAGGTCTCCTACAGCGTTGAAGTCTTCACAGACATGCAACCCGGGGAGACGGTTCTACAGGTAATCATTTCAACAATCCTTTCTTGCCTTTCTCCCTCTCTTCTCCTCTTTTGCTCTGGCACTGTGCTTTACGCCTCCGTCTTTGTCACCGTTGCAAAGAATCTCTCACACTCCCGTTCTTTCATGCTCAAAGTAAAAAAACAAGCACCGCAATCTAGTGCATTGTGTTGACAGGTGAACCCCTTGAACAGTTCCCTTCCTCTCCCTTGCAGTCATCACAGATAAGTCAAGGTGAATGTGTATCTCTGTCCTGAGTGCACATGCCCAGGAAACCTTTTATCCAGCAGATCAGCTGCTGTGATGGCTGAAGATCATTTAAAACAGTAGGCATTACTGATGGCCGTTAATCAATCCTTCCTCTTGCTTAAAAAAAATGTTTGCAACCAAGATGTGATTTCATATTATTGAATACATTTGGAATATTGTTTATATTATTTAATTAAAGCACTTTAAAGGTCATGCATGTCCTTTCCCCTTTTTTTTCATTACATTACATGTATGTACATGTTTTATCCAAAGCGACTTACATACTCAATACTGTGGGCAATCCCCACAGGAGTAATGTGTCTTGCCGAGGGACACAACGACATGCTGACTGCAGTGGGGTTTGAACCTGTGACCCCCTGATCCGAACACCAACACACTAGTCCACTGCACCACACGCCTCCATACATGCACATATACCCATACTAATACCAACTAAAAGCACTCTCATATGCACATGGATGTGCATACTGTATGTACTTGTATATGCAATCACAGCCTCCAAAAATGTAAATGTAACCCCTGCTATACCTGTGTTTATGTTGGAAGGTTTCATCATTTTATTGTCCTTTATTTGGTAGTCAATGCATGATCTTTTCTTCTTTCAGTTGATCTGTCCTCTCAGCAAAACCTCTCTAAAAAAATGTCAGACGCAGAAAAGGTCAAGTTTAATCTGCCTTCAAAATCAGCCATTTTGCCCTCCTTGAAATGAGGCCAGGGGTCACAGAGTGTTGGGAACGACCGCTTAACTGATTTTTATAAGCCGTTTATGAGAGCCTCAGGCCCCGGGAGAATGCTGCTGCTTATTTGATGCTACAGCTTTTGCTCCAATGTCAGGAGCATGAGAAGAGGAGGTCTGGGCAGCTCGGATTAAAGTTTCAAAGCCTTAAAGATATGAAGCCAACTGCATCATGATGGTTCATAATTAAAAGCAGCGGGGTGCCTTCAATAATTGACTTGAAGGAAATTGTGTCTAGCTAATTCATTTGATAACAAACTATGCAAGACATTATATATATTTAAATTGTGCCTTTTTCTTTTCATCTTCAATACTCTGGTAGCACTTCAAATCAGTCCGAACCCCCTGCTGGTAATTATTTACAGATAGAGGGATTCAGTGAGGAATTTGCTGGAAGCTATAACACACAGAAATATCAAAACAAACTTATGTTTGTCTCTTTTTCTCTGTCCATTCTCCCAGTTAACCGCAACAGATGCTGATGAGGGACTGAATGGTCAGGTGACCTATGAGATACTGGCAGGTGCCCAGGGAATTTTCATCATCAGCAACCGCACTGGACGCATCACTGTGGCTCCTGGTGTCACTTTAACTGTGGGACAATCTTACGCTCTGACCGTCAAGGCCTCTGACAGCGCACCAGAGATCCAGAGAAGGTATTGTGTTGTAGTAGCTCTCTTTTAAAGATTGATTCATTTGAACATTGAACAAAATGTCGGCATCAGTTGAATTAAGTGTATTTAATATGAGGTGCTATTCATTCCTCTTTAATTGAAACATTAGTAGTTGTTTCAGTGTTTTTGTGTGTGTCTTCTCAGGGTTGAAAAGAGTTTTTATTTTATTCAATTTTTTTTCATATTTATTCACAAGTTAGCTTTTGAATGTTACAGAGTTTTCTCTGGGGTAGATTACCAAACAAAATAACAATTCTCACAAACTTTTCTGAGCCAAAACATAGTCGGTATTGTTTTATCAAACCTGGTATGAGATTTGTTGGATATAATATCTCCTCTTTATCCTGGAATTATGCCATAACGATGCCAGGGTGAATTTAATGAATTATTTGGCTACAGATTGGTATAGTTACAGTTTTTTTTTTTATAGAAGCAGATTTTCAGCAGATGTAGTAACAATAGATAGACATTTTAGAGAGAAGTATGGACTTTATAAAAATGTATAAAAAGAAGAAGATGAATCTTTAGTAATCCCCCAAGGGAGAAATTCAGTTTTATAAGTTACCAGTTATAAAGAAATGACTACAATGACTAAACATGTTTTGCTATTGTGACTTCTCAACCTCGAAGTATAACACTTTTTTGGGGGGGGGGCAGTAATAGGGGCCTTTTTTTATTTCATCTTAGTAAGACTGGCTAAGACATTTTACACTGTCCAGGATTACAACATCACTAATGCAGGCGACTGGCTGACATAATGACAGCTTGTCAGATCATTTGTAACATCTACCTTTAGCAGTTCAACAAAAGATGTCACAATGAATGAATGCTGTAAATGATAAAGGCATTCATTTAAATGTTTCCTGCGGTGACTTACCGTGAACAAGCAGGCTAATTCTCTGGAAGTAGGTTTTTCAAACAGAAACAAATCATGAATAAAAGGCTTGTATTTTGTTTGTGACATTTAGGAATGTAAAAAAAAAACTTTAATTGTAACTGTGTCCCGGGTTGCGTTCGGATAGTTTAAAAATCAGCTCCTAAGTTCTAACCCTATCTCCTATTCCTTGACCTCTGAGTGAAACGTCACGGGGTT